AAACCCCGAAGCACAAAACCTGACACCTTGCCAACAGCTCACTGTTGATGAACTGGGTTGAGCATCAGTAAGGGAACCAGATGGGTGACAGGATGATGCCACTGTCACCTGAGAATAATTTAAACTTTTGTGTGATGTTACTGAATATTGTTGGTGTTGCTATACCACTTGGAGGGACTACATGTGACAGAACCTTCCTACCAGCAAACAGTGGTAGAAATGCAATGTGCTAAGAACACTACATTTTGTTTAGTATACCTTATTTCAGTCAAGGTAGCCAGAATCAACTGTTTTATATGCAAAACGTCCCCTCCATCACCCTGTGTGAGCTGTGTTCTTATCGTGGACAGTCTGCCTTGGGTGGTACTGGAAGTGCTTTGCTATTTGTACCCGTGCTAACAGTGCTGGAAATGGAGTTGTGCCTGTTTTGTTACTAAGGCCTAGTCTAAACAATTTTGTGTTTGGTGAAGTTGTTCAACACAGAAGTGGTTTACTGTTCAATTAGCTTTACATCCATGCCAGTAAAATGGCAGCTAGCCAAGTAGTAGTTGTAGCTGTGGTGGTACGTGGACACAGGCAAGGCAAACTTTGTAGATGGAGTAGTATCTCTTATAAGACTTTTCAGTCACTCAAGCCCTTCATTAAACACTAATGAATGTTCTGAGGAGCGATGTAGCCTGAAAGTTTCATGCTGACCTCTTGTTCTTTTGATGACTAAGATCTGTTAGGGAGAATGAGCTGATTTTATGAAGATTCATCCAGGGTATATACATTGTTTATGGTAGTTTGAGGGATGCTTTGAAGACGATGAGCAAGGAAAGAGCATACAGTGGATGCCATTGCCCTGAACAGGAAAGTTTCTATTGGAAAGGCTGTTGATCAGTGAGAGGGGAATGGAGGGGGGTGCCATTTTCATTCTTCTTCTGGCTACCAGCTACAGACAGAATGAAATAGCTTTGAAGGAATCACTCTTGTGCTGCTTGTAGGAGGAACATAGTGGGAAGAGCTGGGTGCAGGAGAGGTTGCTTTGCATGGGGGCAGTGTGACTATCCAGGACTGGTTTATCTTAAAAAGGGAGTTACGGATCTCTTAAATTTACAAACACTATCCTTAGTGTGCTTGCTGTACTTTGCTACCGTGTGGCATTGTTTGGCTTAGGTAGAAAACCAATCCTCAGGCTAGGTGAATTCTGGGATGGTTAGAAGGCCTGTATCACATGCTGGGGAGTATCCAGGAGGGTCTTACAAACATTAGTAGCATCAACCTGTGGAGCTTAAGTTTGTGTAACTACTCTTTCCTTGTCATCTTAAGGAATGAAGTAGTGTCCTAAATGTGTTGTAATTGTGGATGTTGACTCCTCTGACATTGCACAATTGTGGCGAACTGCTGAAATAGTATTGCCTTCTTGTTCTGTTTTCAGAAAGATGACGAGTGTCCGTCTACAGCCTGAAACTGGCATTGACTCTCCACCTGTGGGGTGGACTGCTGAACTGGGGTGGAGTGAGCAGCTGGAAGTGATGACCAGTTAGGCTATTATAGGTTGTGTGGTGGCAGCAGCATATTAAGCTAGCTAATGGAGAGCTACATTTTGTGTTTATAGGCTGTGTTTAGAACTATGATGGTGTTAAACTGGTAGGTCTTTTCTGAAAGCTGACTTAGCCTTTAGAAGTTTTTTGTATTAAAAAAAATAAAACACGAAAAACCCACAAAGAACACAAACCAAACTCTGTAGATGCTTTTCTCAGCTGGTTTTAAACACAGCAGGAACTCACTGATTGACCTAGATGCTGATATTGTTGTTGTTATGTATGCAATCTTTAAGCAGATTTTAACTTGTACGTGGCAACTTCCTCTTTAAATGGAAGCTAATTTTAATGAAAGCTTTCAGTTTGTTGTATGCTACAAAAAAGTTACAGGACTTCTATGTAAGATCTATAATCTCAGTGAAACACAAAACAATCTTCTCTGGAGATATTCCAGACCCGCCTGGACAAGGTCCTGTGCAGCTTGCTGTAGGTGACCCTGCTTCGGCAGGAGGGTTGGGCTAGATGACCCACAGAGGTCCCTTCCAACCCCTACTATTCTGTGATTCTGTGATTCTCCCAAGACCTCAAGTGTTGTATAGCATTCCATTTTCTAGTTTTTGTTTTCATGAACTGCCTAGTCTTAGAGACGGAATGGGGGCAGTAAGTCGCTTCCCAGTGGTTCAACTGTCATCTTCTGGCTAGATGCTACTGACCATACTTAGTCAGCGTAGTCCTTCAAACCCTTCACGGAACTGTGGGGCAATAGAAAATTTATAATAGAAGTTGAAGACCATCTGTCCCTTTCCTGTTTGTAACCTCAGAGTGCTTTCTTTCACTTGTGAACAAATAGTTCTGGCTATTAGCACTTCTCTGTTGGCGACTCCATGTTGCATTCAGGCATGTGGTTTTGGCTTTCATAGTACATTTTTTAAAAGGACTAAAAACCGGTAGTGATGCTTTTGGGCTATCTTATGGATTGCTTACCTTTGCATGCTCGGTAAGGGCAAGCATATTTACCACTAGAAGGATCCTGCATGAAGGACAGCAAGGAAACATTTTAGTTCATTGAGCAATCCTGCTGTCATTTCAAGAAACAACGGCTTCTATTTATGCAGAGCTCTAAAGTTCAGCTGTGCTGCTGAACGCTAATCTTGCTCACTGGAGGTGAGATGCGTCTTTTATTTTTAACCTTAGTGATTGCTTGGCAGCAAGTGCGAGTGAAGTTAATCTTCAAGGCCTGATTTAAGAAGTCTCTTGGCATTCTTGTATTAGAAGAACCTTTCACAAGCATCTTGGCTAACTGTGGGTAAGCCTGTTGTGTTGGTTGTTACTGTGTCTCTTTGAGCGTTGCTCCCACAATGTCAGAGAGGTGACATAAGGACAGACTCTTAGGTAACGTAGCACAAAATGGCAATTCTATTGCTTTAAAGCTAGTAGAAAGAAAAACTAGTAAAACCTGCTGGTTAAATGTCCAATGCAAATTGAACAATGCATGAAACTAACTCTGGCGGTTTCAACTAATGACCTGTCTCGAGTGTGTGGAGTATCGGGTAGAGGTGTGTGCCTGTGTGCTTGTAACTGTTGTTTACAAACAGCTACTCTGCTTACTTATATTTGTTTGTTTGTTTTAGCTACAGCTTCAAATTGGTACACTGTATTGAAATTTGTCTGTTATAAATTGCATTTTAAATTAAGACACCAAATAAGTTTCATTTCAAACTAGTTCTTGTTTCAGGCACTTTTTGCTTTCTTCCCTAGATCACTACTGCCAAGTGGCATTATGATGATGTCCTCATCTTTCTTGCATAAAAATAGAATTGTGAATTGGCTGCTTGAAATATGACAAAAAAAGTGAAGATTTCAGTTGTTCTTTGGCTTTCTAAATGTTTGTTCTTGGTCTTAAAATCCACTTGCTCAACTTCTTCATTGGCCTTCCTGTGTAATGTTGTTAAAACTTGGCTTCATTCTCATGGGGTGACAGTCCTGTGGCTCTTGTGTTTACCGAGTAAACATCTGTGGCCATTTTATATGCAACTTCTCAGATGGAGGTTGCTGACCCTGTAGTGGAATTAGCAGGAAGGTGGGCATACCATCTGCTCTGCTGTCATGTTGTAGACTTACCTTCTTGGGTGATTAAAGCGTGTGCCATACTGAACTCGGGCAACTGAGCTATCATTTAGTTCTGCAAAGTCTGTTACCTGCTCATTAGCAGCTGGCTCCTCTGGGGATTGCCAGGCAGCTGAGGGGATATAATGTTACAAACTGCTGCAGCAAAATTAACTATAGCACATTTGTCAGAGCTGAGAATTATCTTGCAGTGATCATATGTAAATGAGATTAGTCCCTGAAAAGGAGTATATTATTTATCGGCTTTTTTGCAGGTGATGTTTTATTACAAGAATGTCAATATCAGTCCCCCGTATTATATTTTTACTTTGCATTATGACAAAGTTCTACATCTTTTACTGGGCACTAAAATTCCAATCTAATTATGCACCTTGGCAAGGTATAACTTGTTAGATGGCTTATCTTATTGTTACGTGTTAGTCACAGCGAAGTACTTAGATGCTGCAGTAACAGAATGATGCCAAGTGATCAGTATGAAGTGAATAGGTTCTCGTTCAAAGTGGTTCTGAAGCCTCAGCTGAGTGCTAATTCATTCTGATGGTTTCTGGCACTCCAATTTCAACAAATTTAATTAGTCTTTGGTATCTAGAGTTAATTTGACCACGAATCCTTTTTGCAGTGTTTTAAATGTAAAATATAGTTACTTTTATGAGCAGAAAGCATAGGTTATGGTTTTCTGGGAGAGTTACCCGTTTCTGACTGCTGTGATTGAGTGAGTGGTGTTTAACTCTGTCTGGTCTTAATTCCTTATACAAGTAAAGGCACAGACCCATTGCTAGCAGTGATTGTGAACATGTGAATTTAAGCAAGCAAAACATAGTTACTGTGTGCACTATTGCCATCCTTGCAGCCTGTCTAAAGTTAGTTGCTGCCTGAGCTCTGCTTGCTTGCTACTACCTGAGCAGCTGTACCTGTGCTTAGCGTCCTAGTTCTGGTGAAACCTAGCCCGGATGATTGAGCTAGGGTATGAGCTTCATACACACAAAAAACTGATTAATTATAGAGTGCCTGTGATAAGTAGTTTATTTGTAAATAGTATTAACAGCCCAGTATTTGCAACTTTGTAAAAATAAAAATAATTTATAAAAAAATCACTGTGCTTTTATGAATTTAGTGTTTTATGGAGCTCACATTCTGTCATCTTTCAAAGTTGTGTTTAACTTGTGTAAGGATATGAAAATATCCTAACACAAGATGAGAATTCATTGTCTGGCAGTTTAGAAGTCGATATAATTGATCCTGTGGGAGTTTGGGTGCATATAAAAGTAGCTGTCATGGCTGCTTGGTAGCTTTTGAGCACGCTCGTCTTCCAGCCAACCATTACGCTCTTCTTTTGAACTTCAGTTTAGTTATACAAACTGTTTGTCTTTCAGAGCCAACATATAATCAGCCAGACCGAACCAACAAGAGGCAGACTGTTTGAGAAGGCTCCCAGCATCTCATGAACGAACTAACGGAACTCGATAATGCTGGTTCTCCAGAGCCAGGCCTACGACTCAGAAAAGGACACATGTCTGACACTGCAACAACACAGGCAGCCTTTGAAGAGAACAGCTCTGAGCAGAGGCTTCTTTTAGTGGAGCCACCTCTGTCTTCTGACCAGGAAAGTGTAAGTTATATGGTTATCTGTTAGGTTTGCTAGGAAGAAAAAGTTTTGACGTAAGTGCTTCAGTGCTTGAAAAAAGTTCCAGAAATGTGAACCATGAGTCTGCACCCTCTTTATTCCTGCTAAATAATTGTAATAAAACCATGAAGGTGTCAGAAATATTCAGCTGAATGTATGGGAACTTGGGTGACAACATGGGGCATTAAGTGTAAGTTAACCAGCTTCGTATTTTTTATTCCTTCCTGAAATAAATGGGACTCATGCTGGTTTGTTCTCTGCGGAGACGATGCTCGTATCGAAACCTTTTTGCTCTGTAACTTCCAATTAATGATAAGTGAAAAGAGAAGGTCTGTTGGCTAATGTAGTCTGAGCCTTGGCTAATTGCTATCATCTTAGACATTAGGACAGAAAAATCTGGTTTGCAAGCATTCTTGTTGGAAGAATGGCCATACTGAATTAGACGAAACATCCACAGCGCGCAGTATCCTGTCTCGGGACCGCAGCCAGTAACAGACTCGCAACGAAGAGTACGAGGGTGGGGAGGCGTGTTGTGTTACTTCCCTAGGACACTCTGCCAGCCGTTAGCAATTGGTGGCTCACAGATGTCCTGAGCCAGTAGCAATGTTTTTGAATTTTTGTTGCATGAGCCTTCGTAAACTTTAGCAGCCACAACATCCCGCAGAAGGGCATTCCACAGCTTAATTAGGTGTTGTACAAAGGTAATGGCCAAGCGTTGGACAAAAGTACCTTCTGGTTAAAGAGCTTCAGAACTGCAATTAATGCTTCTCCCGGGGTATATACGGATGGGTATCAGCACAGTGAAGTGAAAGAGGCAATAATCTTGGGCTCACTATTAAATTTATTGTGGCTTAATGAGTTTACTGTATCAGCTCAGTTAAAGCAGCTGCATGGTTTTAGGCAGCAGCAAAAACGTGCTGATGCTACTTAATGCAGCTTTCAATGCAGGAGAATTGGGCTGTTGCTGTAATTGCTTTTGCCACAGATTCTGGGTGTGGGCATGGACCACTATCATGGTTCAGCTGACATGAGAACCTGTTGTAGGCTGTCTTGACTTAGTTTGAGCCCTTAGGGAATTTAGTTTCAAGTGATCTTGTAATGAGAAGTCAGAACAGGTATTTGTGGCTAATAAGCCGAGCCAATGCATTATAAGTAGCATGCTGCTGTAACTTCTGTAGGACATTCTCAGTATCGTGATAACAGGGAATACGCAGCCTTCGCATTCTGTGGAAAGTTATAAAGCGTTTATATGAGGTGCAGAGTGTTAGCTGATAGCTGAATTTACTAAGGTTAGAAAAAAGAAGAGTTGTGCTAGCAGATATTTTGAACATATGTATGTTTATCTGACAGCGTGTTTGGGATCACCCTTTTTTGAAGGCTGTTTCTTAGCATGTGTTAGGACTATTTTTTTTGTTTGCTTTCATCCTTATGACAAAAGTGTTTCTTTTGTATTGGCTCACTACAAGTATGTAGCTTTCTTGTATTTGATGTTGTCTCTCTTTCCCAGTCTCCTAAAATGCTCCCACAGAAATCTTGCTGTTTGGGCCTTGCTGTTCTGTCTTGAACTGCATCACTTTCTCTGCCTTATGTGGCCTCCTGCTTGTTTGACTTTTTTCTGCCTAAACTTTCATTCCTGTCCTCTGTGATTTCTGGTTTTTAATACTGTGATATATTTAAATTTTTTTTTTCTTCTTAAAAGGTTGAACAATTGATGCTTCAGATGAAGCATCCCAAAACACTCTGCTGTCGGAGGTACCAAAATTATTTTGCCAAATGACCTTTATTAAGTGACATACCGTAATATTATAAATAATCTGTGAAAAAAATTAGACTTTATGTCTTCCTCTGTCTGGTACAAGCCACAGCACAGCTGTTAATCAAATGCCAGCTAGGATTCACTTTTTTGCTCTACTGTACATTCCGGCTACGTGAAAGTGCCTCAGTGGTGATGTCTTATTAGTTCAAAATTATGATTTTCCTCTGGTTTTGAGGAAGCCATTGTTTAGTTAACAGTAATATGAAGTTATTGTTCTTCCTTAGGTGGCAGCAATACTTGGGCACACAAGTTAAGCATAGCCTGATAAAAGGACTCGAGTGATACCTGCTGCATTATTTTTCTGGTAGCTACATGCAGCCACTTTGAAGCCCACAGTAACAACCAAGGAATTCCTATGTTGGAGAAGGAAAGTGGATGAGAGCTATATACTGTCTGGATGGTAGCACAACCATGGTCATTTAATATGCTTTTAAATGCTTCTACAAGCTAATCATATTGACTTTCTTGAATATCATAATATGCATGCATTCTAATAGATATGATACTTCTGCAAAATTTACTGGGCCTAAGACTTGAGGTATTAATGTAAAAAATACGTATATTTTTATGCTGTGATAATATTGCATTGTTTACTTTTCCTGCTGCCTCCCATTAGCCTAGTTATATCATTGCAGTTCCTTTATTTATATAAAATCTGCACGAAACTCTCCTCCACAAGATTCCTTTCCTTATGCCTACTTGTATATCCACTTTCTACTCCACCTGGAGGAGGAGGCAATCTGAGCTCTCAAGAGGTGGTGGTTGCTTTTGATGGATTAGTTTAATGGTCTTTTCTAAGGAGGTGTGTGGAAGCAGACCAATGCATTGTTCAGAATTATTTTCCATCTCCGTCACAGCTTGCGTTATAGACTACTTCTAATTTAGATGGGCCAAAATACTGTTCCTGTGTAGAAATAAAGGATGTTCATGGAAAAAATATGGGTAGTATTAAGAAATCGCATTTAGTCCTGAAATTTTTTTTTTCTGAGGCCCTTGTCCCTGGCACCAGTAACCTACCCTAGGTGATTGCATAGCTGTGAACTAACTACATTTAAGATCCTACTTTCCATAAATTGTGGTATTCACCGAATCCATGTAGCAAAGATTTACTAGCTGTATTGAGCGTGCTTATCCAAAATAATAATAAAACAGTTGCATCCTTCTGCCAGTTTTATAATGATGCTTATAAGAAGATACAGATCATGTAAAAGCAATGTCCTTTTACACCTGAACCTCTCAGTCTTATTTTATTTCATAACTCTGGGTTCTCTCCTAGAGTGCCTATGTGTTCATAGATTATCCCCTCTTCCAAGTATCTGTTCCAAAGAACAGACACACATCTTGCTGTCGTGTTTAAACGTGCAGTTAGTGCAGTGGCAGAGGACTGGTGTACCTTCTGTGACGTTCAGAAATAGTGACCATTTATCTGAATGTAAAGGATGTCAGGGTGAGAAAAGAATGACGTGAGCAGCATAATTCTTCTGTTTCAGCAGTTTAAACTTGCTTCCTTGCCCCAGTTTACATGTGCTGTGTACGAGCTGGTAAGGCATTTTTTGGCAGGTGCTGCCCTCCTGTATATAGCGTGCTGGATTGCCTAGCCTTTGGGACATAGTCTTTTCTCCTGTCCTAGTGTTTCTGTGTCTCAGCTGCCTTTGTAATTCGAGCATTGACAGTTCTTAAGGAAGTCTCTCTTTCTGTGGCTTTAAGCTGACACCATTAAACGCATGTGACTTCCGATAACCTGATGAATGGGCTCTTTATGCAGCCCTAAAACCTATGCTTGACTCTTTTCTTTTATACTTTAACCTGTCAATGACAGGGGGCAAACAAAAGAACCATTTTCTTTGCATTTCTTCCAATCATCAGGCTTTCGTGTTCCTGACTGATGATTCCTTTCACACAGTTGAGCTGTGTAGTGCAGTCGTTCTGTGTGGCACCCACATGCGCCCATGAAGTGGAGAGCTGTTGCTCTGAAGTATTTGATGACTTGTAGTAAGGATTTGGGAGGAGGTGTGCGTGGCCCGAGGGTCATCTGAATGGGCAGAAGACGTGGGCAAATACTCATCTGGATTGCTTCTCAGGAAGCATGGGTTTTGACTTCAAGTGGAACTTACTTGACCTCTGACACATTTCATAATACCTGCACGTAGCTACAAGGGTCTTTCTAGAGCATAAATACCAAAGTGACTTGAAGGAGGAAGGCAGAGGATGTAACAGATGTTCAGGTACAGAAGAAAAGTTTTAGAATAATTGGAAGGTGAACAAATGGCACAAGATTTTTAACTTGAATCGTAGAACTTAGTCAAAGCCTTTTCTGTTAGAGAAACGTGTAGATACTGTCTACAAGAGTAGACCACAAAAATAGTTTTTACATGCACCCTTCTGTAAATAACAATTCATAGAATTGTCAACTCGTCTTTATGGTCTGTGCTGTCTGACTGAAAAAGATTTACGTAAAGTCTTACAGGCCAAAGGTAGACAATTGAGTCTTAAGACTAGTCTTTCTGGGGCTGATATTCATATATTTTGATCACCTTAAATTTTTTCCTTTATAGATTTATTTACAAGTTTCTTGCTCAGTTTGAAACCGTTTAGCTTTGTTTTTTGTCTAGCATTTTACTGTTGTTACTTGGGGTTATGATGAAAAACTTAGTGTTTGCTTTTGTATTTGCCTTCTTCCTGCCTTGTATTACAGGTTTTGTTGGTAGAGGTGGTTTTCTGTGCAGGGGAGAGGCCTGGCATAACAGAATTTGAGGTCCCACCAAAACATGTTTGCTTTTGTTTTAAAGCAGATTATCTTCAAAATTTGTTTTTCTGTAGACTCCATCACCTCTTCCTTTCCTCCAGTTTTGCAGCTATTGAGAAAGAATGTTATTTCTTTGAAAGCATGTGAATTGGCACTTCAGATCAAAAGATCTTGACATCTTAACATCTGAATTTCTCCTTCACTAGCTGTTCTAAGCACTAGAAGTATTGCGTGTTTTACTCAGACTGCTAGTCACTGAAGTGCTTGAAAGCAAAGCATTTTTTGACACAGAGAGGAGAATATCTCCAAGTATTCCCACTTAAACAGTATGAAGACGTGCGGTACATCTATGGAGATAGTTTCCAGGCTCCACAGACTTGGGTTGGTTGGATGCTGATGTCTCCTTCAGTGACAGTTGATGTG